CCCTATGACCCAGCAATTGCACTACTGGGTATTTACCCCAAAGATACAAATGCAGTGATCCAAAAGGTCACATGCACCCCGATGTTTATAGCAGCGATGTCCACAATAGCCAAACTATGGAAAGAGCCTAGATGTCCATCAATAGATGAATGGACAAAGAAGATGTGGTATATATATACAATGGAATATTATGCAGTCATCAAAAAAATGAAATCTTGCCATTTGTAACGACGTGGATGGAACTAGAGGGTATTATGTTAAGTGAAATAAGTCAATCGGAGAAAGATAAGTATCATATGATCTCACTGATATGAGGATTTTGAGAAACAAGACCGAGGATCACAGGGGAAGGGAGGGGAAAATGAACCAAGATGAAACCAGAGAGGGAGACAAACCATAAGAGACTCAAGGGTTGCTGAATGGATGGGGGGTGGAAGGGATGGGGTGGCTGGGTGATGGACATTGGGGAGGGTATGTACTATGGTGAGCACTGTGAATTGTGTAAGACTGATGAATCACAGACCTGTACCCCTGAAACAAATAATACATTTTATGTTAATAAAATTTTTTTTAAAAAAAGTAGGAAAAAACAAAAACAAAAACAAATCATAAAGTGTTCTGAGTTACCATAAACATTTTCAGGTCTTCAACATTTAGGAAATCTGGATACGCATTAGGAAAATTAAATATAGCACCTTAATACTTCCTTTGGAACTAGAAAAGACTCAGGTCTTCCTTTCCTTAAGAGGTAAACTTCAAATTCAGAGAACTTAATAGGTAATTAGTTTGTCAGTATTAATAAATATTTAATTTGTTTATTTATTAAGATTTTATTTACTTATTTGACAGAGAGATAGAGAGAGAGCACAAGTAGGCAGAGCAGCAGGCAGAGGGAGAGAGAGAAACAGACTCCCCACTGAGCAGGGAGCCTGACGTGGGGCTCAGTCCCAGGACCCTGGGATCATGACCTGAGCCAAAGGCAGCCACTTAACCGCTGAGCCACCCAGGAGCCCCAGTTAATTTGTTTATATTAAGACTATGTGTCTTAGTCTCTTCCAGCTGCTATAACAAAATACCACAGACTGAGTGGTTTATAAACAGAAAGTTATTTCTCACAGCACTGAAGGCTGGAAGTTTAAGAACAGAGTGTCAGCATGGTTGAGTAAGGGCCCCGTTCAGGGTCACAGACTTCTCATTTTATCCTCACACAGTGAAAGGGGTTAGGGAGCTCTGTGGAGTCTCATTTGTAAGGACATTCATCTCATTCATGAGGACTCTGCCTTCATGACCTAATCAACTCCCAAAGACTCCCCACCTCTTAATGCCATCACCTTTGGGAGTTGGGATTTCAATATTCTGGGGGGACACAAACATTCAGACCATAGAAAATACCAAATAAATTAATTATCAATTATTTGAAAAAGACATTTATCATTCTCTGTGATCATGACTGTTGTATGCTACTTAGAAGCCAAGTGTAAAAATGACAGAATTAACAGATCTTCTTGTTGATATAGTGTCCTTCTTCATCTCTTATTACAGTCTTCAGTTTAAAATCTAGTTTGTCTAATATAAGGATGGCTACTCCAGCTTTTTTTTTTTTTTTTTATGTCCACTAGCATGATAAATGGTTCTCCACCTCCTTACTTTCAGTCTGGAGGTGACTTTGGGTCTAAAATGAATCTCTCTCTCTCTCTCTTTTTTTTTTTAGGATTTTATTTAAGAGAGAGAGAATGAGAGAGAAAGAGAGCATGAGAGAGGGGAGGATCAGAGGGAGAAGCAGACTCCCCACTGAGCAGGGGGCCTGATGTGGGACTCAATCCCGGGACTCCAAGATCATGACCTAAGCTGAAGGCAGTCACTTAAGCAACTGAACCACCCAGGTGCCCTAAAATGAGTCTCTTATAAGCAGCATATTGTTGGGTCTTTTTTTTTTTTTAATCCATTCTGATACCGTATCTCTTTTGATTGGGGCATTAAGTCCATTTACATATCAGAGTCATTATTGAAAGATATTAATTTAGTGCCATTGTATTACCTGTTAAGTTGCTGTTCCTGGAGCTTGTCTCTTCCTTTTCTGGTCTTTGTTACTTTGGGGATCTCTCTTTGCTCAAAGAATCCCCTTTAATATTTCTTGCAGGACCGGTTTAGTGTTCACAAATTCCTCTTACACTGTTGGTAGGAATGCAAACTGGTGCAGGCACTCTGGAAAACAGTATGGAGGGTCTTCAAAAAGTTAAAAATAGAACTATCCTATGAGCCAGCAATTGCACTACTAGGTATTTAACCAAAGGATATAAAAATACTAATTCAAAGGGATACATGCACCCAATGTTTATAGCAGCATTATCAGCAATAGCTAAATTATGGAAAAAGCACAAATGTCTGACAGATGAATGGATAAAGAAGATGTGGTATAAATGTGATGGAATATTACTCAGCCATCAAAAAGAATGAAATCTTGCCATTTGTAACACACCATGGAGCTAGAGAGTACTATGCTAAGTGAAATAAATCAGTCAGAGGAAGACAAATACAGATGAACACAGGGGAAGGGACAGAAAATAAAATAAGACAAAATTAGAGAGGGAGACAAACCATAAGAGACTCTTAACTCTAGGAAACAAACTGAGGGTTGCTGGAAGGGAGGTGAGAAGGGGTGGGGTAATTGGGTGATGGGCATCAAGGAGGCACTTGATATAATGAGCATTGGGTATTATATGCAACTGATGAATCACTAAATTCTACCCCTGAAACTAGTAATACACTATATGTTAACTATATTGAATTTAAATTAATTTTTTAATTAAAAAAAAGAACTAAAACACTACAATATAAATAGAAAATTCAAAATTATTAAAATAGTAAAAAAATAGATAAAAGGCATTTCTCTAGCTATGACAGTAATAGAGTCTGGACTACCTTATCTCTCCATCATAAACAACTACACAACTGGATACACTATATGAAACAACTGACCTTAGACAAAGGGCAGCATAGAACAGTGATCCATGAATAAGAGGGGAAAACAGGTATACCCTATAACCATTCAACCTTTCTTCCTTGAGGCACAGTCTGGGCTCAAGTGCAAGGAAGAGAAACTGAAGAGAGAATAGTCTCACGGAGTTGAGGAGACAGAAAAAAAAATTTTTTTTTAAAGATTTTATTAATTTATTTGATAGAGAGAGAGACAGCGAGAGAGAGAACACAAGCAGGGGGAGTGGGAGAGGGAGAAGCAGGCCTCCCGCCGAGCAGGGAGCCTGATGCGGGGCTTGATCCCAGGACTCTGGGATCATGACCCGAGCCAAAGGCAGATGCCCAATGACTGAGCCACCCAGGTGCCCCGAAAAAAATTTTAAAGAAATAATGGCTAAGAAATTTTGAGTTTTGATGAAAACTACATTCGTAGATTCAAGAATCTCAATGAATCCCAGGTAGAAAGACACAAAGAAAATCACACTGAAACATAAAATTATCAAATTGATGAAAACCAGTGAAGCAGCTAAAGAAAAGAACAATTATACACAGAAATATAAAGTTAAGAAAGGCTAGGAGGAGCTAAGATGACAGTGTAGTAGGATTCTAGGTTCATCTCATCCCTTGAACACAACTAGATAACTATCAAATCATTCCAAATACCCCAGAAATCAACCTGAAGACTAAAAGAACAAACTCCACAAAAGCCACATTAAAGAAGATAGGAAGGACAAAGATGTGGTTTGGGAGAGAAATGATCATGGGTGGTGCAGAGGGGAGGAAGCTGTGGTCAAGGAGAAAGTCCAAAGAGAGAGGAGCACACAGGGGAATGCACAAGGAAAACACTTCCCCAAAGCCACTGGCTGGGAAAATGAGAGGGACTGCAACCAGTGGGGCTTAAAGACTGGAGTTTTACAGGCGGTGGTTGGGATAGAGGTCTGAGGGCACTACCCTGCTCCTGGAGAGAAGGCAGGCAAACAACTTGGCAGATGGTGTGGAAATAATGATCTGAAGAACACCTGGGGCACACAGGGAAGAGACTGTTCACTCTTCTTGGAGCATATCCTTGATAGGTAGCATTCACATAGACACCTCTCTAGAGATAAAGGAGCCAGCAGCCACCATTTCCCTCCTCCACCCCTCAGGATAAATGCAGAGCCACCCACAGGAAGCAGCTCAGCCCCAATACTGGCTGCCTAACCTACTTACACCAAGTCCCACACCCCTGCACTCTGGCATGACTATCCTTCTAGGTCAAACCTACCTCAGTCCCAGCATAGTGAGGCCCTCCCACAGAAGACCAGTGCAGGCCCCTGCCCCCACCACATCCCTAAAGCCTGGAGTTTTAAAAGTCAGCAGGCTTGGCTGGGATAGAGCCCAGAAAGCACTGTGCTGCTCCTGGAAAGAAGGCCGGCAAACAACCCAGAGGCAGTGTGGAAACACTGATCTGAAAAATGCCTGGGACACAGAGTGGGGAGATTATTTGCTCTTCTTGCAGTGCTTTCCTGAAAGCAGAAAGCACAAAGACCCCTCTCAGGGACAAAGGAGCTGGCTGGAGCAATTTCTCTCTCTGCCCCACCCCCCAGCATAAAAACAGAGTCATCTGTGATAAACAGCACAGTGTGAACACTAGCTGCCTAACCTGCTTACACCAAGTCCCACACCACTGGGCTTTCATGGGAATGGCCTTCTTGGTCAAGTTTGTCTCAGTCCCAGCATGATGGGCACCTTTCAGAAGACCAGAAGATACCCATGCCCACATCACGACCCCTGACCACAGAGTTCTGCAGGGCTTCAGTTGTACTGGAAGTAGTATCAGGTCTCATTTAACAAGCAGACCAGAGCACATCTAGTTAAAATTTGCCACATTCTGGTAAGGGATCAAACATTGCCCACTGCAGGCAAGGAGAACTTCTGCAGATGACTGGGCTGAAGGATAGAGCAGCCAAAACACAACAGCAGAGTGCAGGTAGCACACACCAGAGACACTACCTGAAGTGCCAGGCCCTGGACACTATGTGACCCCTTCTTCATAAAGCCATGACTCTCAGGAGAAGGAAACATAACAGGCTTTTTTAACACAGAGAAGAAGAAAAAGACAGACAAAATGCCAAGATGGAGGAATTCATACCAAATGAAAGAATGACATAAGGTCACAGCCAGAGATAGCAAAACAGATATAAATAACAAGTCTGATGGTGAATTTAAAGCAACAATCATAAGGATACTCAGTAGCCTTGAGAAAAGAATAGAAGACTCCAGGGAGCCTCTTACTGTCAAAATAAAAGAGTGAAAAAAAACAGAAATGAAAAACAAAATAATTGAAATTTGAAACAGATTTGATGCAATGAACACAAGGATAGAAGAAGCAGAGGAACAAATAAGTGATATAGAAGATAAAATAATGGAAAATAATGAAACTGAACAAATGAGAGAAAGAAGAATTATGGAACACAGCAATAGACTTAGCCAACTCAGTGATGCCATCAAACATAATAACATTCATATTATAGGAGTCACAGAAGAAGGAGAGAAAAGGGGGCAGAAAATTTATTTGAGGAGATAATACCTGAAAACTTCCCTAATCTGGGGAAGGAAACGGACATCCAGATTCAGGAGACACAGAGAACTCCCATCAAATCAACAAAAGCAGGCCAACACCAGGACATATTATAATTAAATTTGCAAAACATAGTGATAAAGAAAAAAATGTTAAAATAAACAAGACAAAAGGAGTTCCTAACTTACAAGGGAAGATCCATAAGGCAAGCTGCAGATCTTTCAACAGAAATTTGGCACGTCAGAAGAGAATGGCATGAAATATTCAAAGTGATGAACTGGAAAAATCTGCAGCCAAGAATACTCTTTCCAGCAAGGCTGTCACTCAGAATAGGAGAGATAAAGAGTTTCCCAGGCAAATAAAAAATAAAGGAGTTCATGACCAGTAAACCAGCCCTTCAAGAAATATTTAAGGGGACTCTAAGCGGAAAAGAAAGACCAAAAGTGACAAAAACAAGAAAGGAACAGAAAAACTCCAGAAACAATAACATGTAATAAAATGGCACTAAATACATATCTACATATCTATCAATAATTACTCTGAGTGTAAATGGACTAAATGCTCCAATCAAAAGACATAGGGTATCAGAATGAATAAAAAAACAAGACTCATTTATTTATATGCTGCCTACAAGAGACTCATTTTAGACCTAAAGACACCTGCAGATTGAAAGTGAGGGGATGGAGAAATATTTATCATGCAAATGGATGTCAAAAGAAAGCTGGAGTAGCAATACTTATAACAGACAAATTAGATTTTAAGCCAAGGACTGTAACAAGAGAAGAAGGACACTTCTTGTGTGTTCCATAATTCTTCTTTCTCTCTTTCTCTCTCATCATAAGGGGGATTATTCAACAAGCTCTAACAATTGTAAATATTTATGCACCCAACATGGGAGCACACACACACACGCACACACACACACACATATATAAATTAATAACAAAAATAAAGGAACTCATTGATAATAATACAATAATAGTAGGGGACATTAACACCCCACTTACACCAATGGATAGATGATCTAAACAGAAAATCAACAAGGAAACAATGGCTTTGAAAGACACACTGGACTAGTTGGGATGTATATACAGGCCTACCTCAAGAAGCAAGAAAAATCTCAAATAAATAACCTAAACTTACACCTAGAAAAAGAACAACAAATGAAGCCTAAAGCCAGCAGAACAAGGGAAATAATGAAGGTTAGAGCAGAAATAAATTATATAGAAACTAAAAATACAATAGAACAGATTTATGAAACCAGGAGCTTGTTCTTTGAAAAGATTAATAAAATTGATAAACCGCAAGCCAGACTTATCAAAAAGAAAAGAGAAAGGACCCAAATAAATAAAATTACAAATGAGGGAGAAGAAATAACAACCAACACCACAGAAATACAAATAATTACAAGAGAATATTATGAAAACCTATATACCAACAAATTGGACAACCTGGAAGAAATGGGTAAATCTAGAAACACACAAACTACTAAAACTGAAACAGGAAGAAATAGAAAATTTGAACAGACCACAACCAGCAAAGAAATTGATAAGAACCATATGATACTTTCAATAGATGCAGAAAAAACATTTCACAA